AGCTTTGACACGCACCCCTCGCTGAAGAGCCTCTGAGATCCTCGAAACCTGAGTGATTATCCTCCTCATCCTTCCGTCTTTGGCATCTCCCCCTAGATCTCTATGAAAGACATCGCGACCAGGGCAAGGAGCATCTTCTGGCCAAAGATGTCGCACATGCGCTCTCACTTTGCGGAAAACTTCATCATCACTGCACAACATGCCACACTTGTCTCACGAAATCGGGAGCCTGCGGTCCTCCATGCCTCTTAACAGCATTGTTAAACCAGTAATCGCCTGCTCTGCCACTTGGGTGGGCCCTCCTATCACGCGTGGGCTGATATCGCCAATCAAGTTCTTGATTCTGGTAAGGTTACACTTAACCCCATATGCTCCTGAGCGCGGTGATCGCCATCAACTTAGCCAACCCTGCTGCGCAAGAGCACCCTGCTATGATGGACCCGTTCGCGCTAATGACCTCCGAAACCGATTGTTGGTACACGGCCCTCCTTGGGCCTCTGCACAGGGCACACAAGGGCCTCAGAAGTGCCAGGGGAAAACCAGTATCCCTGGCAGCGCACAAGAGTTCCTGGTGGCTGACCATTTCATAAAACTTGCGGGGGTCTACAACCGCACTAAAACTGACAAAGCCTAACTGGGGAGCCACATCCGCCAGGGCGCTGCGAATCCAGGCGGACTTGTCACATGAGGTCTCACTAGAGGCCCCCAAGAAAAGAAGGGAAACAAAAAAAAAAAAAAAAAAAAAAAAAAAAAAAAAAAAAAAAAAAAAAAAAAAAAAAAAAAAAAAAAAAAAAAAAAAAAAAAAACACTCGGGCAACTTGGATTCCCACTTGGAGACCTGCTTGTGTCTCAATCTAGACCATACTCTAGCAAACAAGGGCAGCAGGCCCATGGGTCTCTCCCCCCTTGAGGTTTGGGGAGGAAGACGATGAGAATGAGCCACATGTCAGTGAGCTCTGGCTCAGCTTCCCACCGATGCAAAATCAGGATGAACGCCGCTATTAGAGCCTCAGGCAACTTCTCAATCCACCTCGGGCGAAAAGAATCCCAGCCTAGACCAGTGTTGGGCCTAAACGACCCTAGTGCTGCACGCACCGCTGCTGGCTCTGGCTCGGGAAGGGGAGCCGCGTCTGAAACATCCTAGGAGAGGGGGCGGGGCTCAAGGTCCCTGGACGGAAGCTTCCAAAGCGAGACCCAAGCCCCCAGCATGGCCTTCAAGGCCTCATGGCCCACGACGGGCAGCGAGTCAGCAAGCGCCGGTTGGGAATTGTCCTGAGGGCCCCGAGAATACTTGTGAGCAAGACCCCCTCCTCTCTGGAACGCGAGCTCTGAAAACTCATTCCAAGACTGTCGGGCCGCCGACGCATCCTTGCCCGTTTGCTGCTGCACACGACGCTGAAGCACGTCGCAAACATCGACACGAGAGTCGGGGTCCTCCAGACGAGCAAGGAAGGCGGCATGCGAGCTTGGTGACACAGGCTCCTGAGTCGACACAGCCTCCTCCTCCCCCGAACCCGTCCAAGCGCCACCGACCTCCTCCATACGTGCAACAGCGCTGCTGATCGCAGCATCCTTGTCTGGGGCCGTGGAGTCTTGCGCGTGGAGCCACTGCATTGTCACTCTGCGAAGCGTAAGCCACTTCTGAGTTAGCGCACTGGCCTTTCTTCGGACACTTTTTCCCCAGGCGCAAGACATCGGCACTTTTGCCAGACGGCAACCAGCAGCACGACCTGAATAACGGTGCCTTTCAAACTCAGGCAGCGCCGTGTACATGCACAGATAAAGCTCAGCGGAGGAGAACCACCTGCGCGCAGGACAGCCCACGGACCCCCCCTGCAAGAATTTCAAAACCTGGCCAGCCCGATATGTCCCCTGGAACGAAAGCCCCCCCTTTCTTTGGGAGCCTGAACGCCTTGGGCTGGATTCGCCTGTGAATGTAATTGTGGCTTCCAACCCCCGACATCCTGAGGACAACCGCTTTGCGGGGCCCCACGGGAGTGCCATGCCGAAGGCTTATGCTTCGGACAAAGGGCACAAGCACACCACTCATCGCAAAAAAATCAACGCAACTGTCGTTGCACGCGGGCTGTTCAACGCTCACAACCTCCGCGTGCAACACGTTCAAGAAACCATGCCTAAGAAAACCGTCGGTCCCAGAAAGCTCAGCTTCGATGTTCCAGCCCCCCGCAATGCAGAAGGGCAGGCACGAGGCCCTAACGGCCTCAATGAGAGCCCCCAGGAGCTCCACGTTACCCTTGAGGCCCACCCCCACCTCCCCGTAAACCGAAACGAAGAGAATCTGCATATCTCCTAATACAGTGCGCTGAAACTTAAGCCTGCTCTTAGGGTGTGCACATGCTGGCATGTACTCAGCAACAGGCATGTGAGCACGTGTGCACAGGCCTACCCCGCTAGACGTCGACAAGGTCGAGCTGCCAGTGATCGCACACGGTGACGCCTCCAGCCTATAGCCCCGAGCCCTAGCCCAGGCTTGACCGCATCGGACCTGCTCGCCCGCTGCGAGGCGCAGCCCCTGCAGCACGAAGATGTCCGCCTGCAGCAACTGGTCCAGCACGCACCACTCCATGAAACTCTGTGCCGTGGCCCAGGAATTGCTATTGTAGCAAACCACCGTGAACTCCGTACTCACCCCGAACGATCGGATTGGCTGCTTGCCCCCAGCCACCTGAAGCTTGCAAAGCGCTGTGCAGGTAGAACTCCGACCGAGCGACTCCACATCATGAACAGGAACGGGCTCATGTAGTTCGCCAGGCCCAGGTGAAACTGGGTGTTGCCCCACAAGCTGCCCAGCAGGAAAAGGCACCACTTCCTCTGATACCTCTTCTCCGTTCAGATACTCGCAAAGGCGCAGGCAGCTGTAATCAGGGAAATGCAGGCCGCCGTAGGTTGCTTGTCGCAATCGCTCGTCGTACACTTCGCCCCCTTTGACCGCATCCGAGGAGGACACGAGGGGGCACTCAATAGTTCGGATTGTGTAGCCGCTTGGGTTCGAAGCCTCCAGCTGCCAAAAGACGAGATTTGGCTCGAAGCTCACCCTCATCCTCTCCTTCGTCAGCCAAGGAGCCGACATCCTCGCGCAGCTGCTCCACCTCGATCGTGTCGATGTTCCATGCTGTTGGGGGCGGCTCAGCTGGTTGACCACCACCCGCTGCCACGCGGGCTCGCTTGTCGGGCGGCTCCTCCAGCACCTCGGCCGCGCAGGATTTGAGCACCTCAGCCAGCCTCGGCGCCAACTTGCTGGCGTCGGCGACTCCCTCCATCGTGCCAAGCGCTGAAAGCAACTTGGCCTCGTCCAGCTTGATCTCTGGGCCCGTGAGGTCCATCGACTGATGCTGCCCTGGCTCTTCCGCTGGCTGCGAGGATGCGAGAGCACGCACTTCCTCCTCCAGCTGCATGCAGACCTTCTGGCGCTCCCCGACCACCAGCGCAGCTGCCTTGGCCTCCTCCTGCGCCTTGAGCAGCTTCTGGTCCGCTGCTGTCTTGTCCTGCTCCGCCTTCTGGTAGCGGATGCGAGCCTGCTCAGCTCGTCGCGACAACGCCGTGAGCTTCGCTGGCAAGGGCTTGTTCTCATACAGCTTACGACGAGCTCCCTCCAGCTGCTCTCGAACAGCCTTGAGCGGTAACACCATCCACGGGGAGCGGACCGACTCCAGCCACTGCACGTGCTTGCCGAGGCCGTCGATCTCATCCCGTAGCTCTTCTGACTCATTATTCTCCACTGCCGCGTCGCCTCCGCCAGTGTCAGCCGAACCACGCAGCTTGGCGTTCTCGGCCTCCAACTGCTGCAGGCGCTTCTCCAACTTGGCAAACGAGGCAGCAGTTGCATCGAAGGTGCCGTCGGCCTTGCGCTTGCTCCGGCTGGGGAGGTCCGAGGGGGCGACGCACTTGAATGCCACACCCTTGTGCAGCTTGCACTTGTAGCACTTCTCGTTAACCCCATAGTTAATGAGAGGATCCCCAGTCCGACGAAACGTGCAAAACTTACACATCCAGTCTTGCTTGGGCTCCTGCTGCTGCTTCCCACTCCATGTCCACGGCGCTGGCGCCATGGCGACGTCTTTGCTGTGCGTTGGGCCGCCAGAGAGCCCCTGCGGTACTGGCTGAAAGAAAAGCTGTCGAGCGCAAGCGCTCTGGCACTGCCGCGGACTAGCGGTATCCACTTTGTTCCCAGGGAAAACCAAAACCTTGAGCCAAAATGGCTACGGACGAGGGGGAGGGGGAGGAGGAAGAGGGGGAGGAGGAGGAGGAGGAGGAGGAGGAGGAGGAGGAGGAGGAGGAGGAGGAAGAGGAGGAGGAGGAGCACTACCGCACGTGGCAGACTCGTGGAAGCCTCGGGTCTTTCAACGCTGTCATCGAGTATGATTCGGAGTGCGCGGCTGATGTGGTCCGGCGCTGGGCTCGTGCTAGGCTGAACCTCAGGTTGGCCCTGAGTGCACGCCACATGTTCGACGAACTCTCTTCTCGTATAGAATGGCACAAAGTTCAATCACAGACTGACAAGTTCTTGAATGAGAGAGACGATCACCTCGCGAACTGCGGTGCGAGGGGAATGTGTTGTGGGCTTCCGGGGGTCGTCCAGTGGGCCTGGAGCTCTTCGAGCACATCTTCATCATAGAGGACAGGCAGCCCCTGTTCACCTCGGCAGACGCATCAACATGAACTTCGAAGGACCGCGCGGATTTCTTGAATCGGCGCTGGACCCATGTCTCCAGCACGCAGAGCATACCAGGGGCGGCGCCAGAGGCGCCGCCAGGGGGACCGGCGCCGATCCACAGAATCTGCGTGGACGTCCGCATGTTGACGTACATGGCGACTTTTCCTCTTCGACTGCCACCCGTCCTGCCTGGACTTTCCCGGGGAGGACTCCCCAGGGACGAGAGTGGACGGAGGACGCAGGAGGGAGTGGGGACGGACAGAGAAGGGAGGAGGAGAGAGGAGGGACGGGAGGAGGGAAGGTAGGAGAAGCGAGGAGGAGGGACCTGGACTCTCCCAGAGACGAGTGGATCAGGACGCCCTCCTCCTTCTGGAGCGCGCCCTCCACAAAATCGAACACTTCATTGATCGTGGCACCGTCCGCATCCAGAACCCGCCGGCCCTCTTGGTGGGACCACTGGGCAGCAAGATCCAAGCATTAGAGGATGTATCTAACTACAGAAACCCTGGGATCCTACATGCTGGCGTCTCGCCTTCACTCCCACCACCTTTCTTCGCATGGGGGAAGCGGATCCCGAGGGAAACGGGCCCTGGACCCTGTGGCCTCCCAGGATGAGCTCTTCATCTTGAGTGCTTTTCTGACGATCCCATGGCTGGTGAGGGTCTCGGGAGCCCGAAGACGACGACAAAACCTCAGGACCCGTTCCCTTCCAGACCAACTTCCCACGGCGACGGCGACTTCCGCTGGCCCTCGACGCCAGCCTGCGCCAGAGGGCCCGCCGCCGCTCTGCTTTCGCAGGCTGCCGCCCTCCTCCGAGGACGAGGCGCGCCGAAGGAGAGGCTTGTCCTGGAACGCCCCACATGTGTGTGTGCGTGTGCGCGTGCGTGTGCGAGTGCGTGTGCGTGCGCCCGCGCGTGTGCGTGTGCGTGTGCGTGTGCGTGTGCGTGTGCGTGTGCGTGTGCGTGGTTGTGTGGTTGTGTGTGTTGTGTGTTGTGTGTGTGCGCGTGTGCGTGTGCGTGTGCGTGTGCGTGTGCGTGTGCGTGTGCGTGTGCGTGCGCGCGCGCGTGTGCGTGTGCGCGTGCGTGTGCGTGTGCGTGTGCGTGTGCGTGGTTGTGTGGTTGTGTGTGTTGTGTGTTGTGTGTGTGCGCGCGTGTGCGTGTGCGTGTGCGTGTGCGTGTGCGTGTGCGCGTGCGTGCGC